GGATTACAGGCATGTGCCACCACACCCAGCCCAATGTGGCAATTTTTAATGTCAGAGGTTTGAGCTCCTTTAACTACTCTCTCTTTTTGGTGCTAAGGATTGAACCCAGGGCATTATGCATGCTAGGCAAGCACTCTACCTCAACTGTATATTTTAATCATTAAATAACTTAAAAATATGACATACATAATGCTGTTTTCAATCCTTTGTAAGCAGTGGCACGTGCAGAAAATCTAGGGGCTTTAAGCTAACATTCGGAGTGCCTAAGAGGCTGGCATCAGAGTGCATCTGGCCCCCTGCCTCACACTGCCTGGCTACCCTGAGGGCTGAGGGGATCAGTGTGTTTTTACTTTCCTGAGATTCATTCACAAACCCTGATCCAGATGTCACTGGAGTTTAATCAAGGCTCTCTTCATCATTATTATGACCTTCTACAGTTCGAATACCACAAATTCTGGGAACAAATTAATCCAAAGCAGGTGAAATCTCAGATATTCAACTTAAAATTAACTTCTGGCTTAAATAAGCAGGAACTTTATTTGTCTTCATAAATGACAATAATCGGGGCTGGGGATTTAGCTCAGCGGCAAAAGCGCCTGCCTGGCAAGTGCAAGGTTGTGAGTTCGGTTCCTGATACCGGAGAAAAACAAAACAAACAAACAAAAGACAATAATCTACAATTTGGTTTTTGAGAATTATATAACCTGTAGTTCTTCACTTTTTTTTGTCTTTTTGAGACAGGGTCTCACTGCAGTTCAGGCTGGCTTTGAGCTCACGCTGTAGCCCAGGCTGGTCTCGAACTCGAACAACCATCCTCCTGCCTCAGGCTCTCGAATGCTGGGATTACAGGCATGCGCCACCACACTCGGCTTTTCACTTTTCTTTATTAAGAAATTTTTCTTGATTTTTTCCTTAATCAGATTTTTTCTTTTTTTTTTGTCTTTTTCAGTCAGGGTCTCGCTGTGCAGTTCAGGCTGGCCTTGAGCTCACTTTGTAGCCCAGGCTGGCCTCGAACTCACAACGATCCTTCTGCCTCAGCCTCCCGAGTGCTGGGATTACAGGCGTGTGCCACATGCCCAGCTCTTAATCAGAATTTTATTTATCCTTGAAAATAAACTGGCAAGCTTTCTTTTAAGGATTGTTGGTTCCTTGGAGTTCTATAGGTTAAAGTGTTTTCTGCTAGACATGGTAGTAAGCACCTATAATCCCAGCACTTGGAGGCTGAGGCAAGAGGACTGACTACAACTTTGAGTTCAGCTGAGGCAACTCAGTGAGAATTTATCTCAACATAAAACATTTTTTAAAAAAGGGTTGGGGATGTGAGGCCCTGGCTTCAGTTCCCAGTACCATCACACAGAAACTTTTTCTCTTATCTCTTTTTGTTTTGTTTTGTGATGCGGGGGATCATGCATGCTTGGTAAACATTATACCGCTGAGCTACATCCTTATGTCCTAAAATGTTTTAAAGGGAAACAGTTGTGATGAATTTTCACATCCTTCCATAATCACTGATTTATTCAGGCATTCCACATCTTGAACCAATTTGATATTTTTGTAAACATCTGTTCTCTACCTTTTCAAATATATTAGAATGAAGTCACACATAATTTTTAAAAATTTCCCTCCCCTTCCTATTCAAATTTTTTATATGACATTTGTAAAATAGTCTATCTTATTGTATTGTTAAACAACTTTTAGATTAAGGCTACTATTTTGTTTCTCATTTTAATAACTTTTTTTTTGGTGCTTCGATACAGGGTCTCACTATATAGTTCAGTGTGGCCTTGAACTCACTATATATCCCAGGCTGGTCTTGAACTGAGAGTGATCCTCCTATGTCAGCCTCCTGTGTGCTGGGATTATAACAACCTTTTTATTTTTAATCATTCTCACTGCTGATTTGGATTTATGTTGTAATTCTTTTCTAACGTTAGAGTAATTAATCATTCATTGAACATGTTCAGTATGTGATGGGGAATGACTAGGTGCTGGAGATATATGCTTGGTGACAAAGCCCTGACATTTAATCCTTGAGTTCTTTTTTTTTTTTTTTTTTTTGTTTTTCTCCGGTACCGGGAACCGAACTCACGACCTTGCGCTTGCCAGGCAGGCGCTTTTGCCGCTGAGCTAAATCCCCAGCCCCTCCTTGAGTTCTTTTTGAGACGGGGTCTCACTACAGTTCAGGCTGGCCTTGAGCTCACTTTGTAGCTCAGGCTGGTCTCGAACTTGTAACAATCCTCCTGCCTCAGCCTTCTGAGTGCTGGGATTATAGGTATGCACCACCACACCTGGCTCTTTTTTTTTTTTAAAAAAAAAAACAAAACAGGGTCTTGCTATGTAGCCCAGGCTGGCCTCGAACTTGAGGTAATCCTGCCTCAGCCTTCTGAGTTCTGGGATCACAGGCATTTGCCATTACAATAGCTGAATGAAGGCCTTTTTGTGATAATTATGGCCTTATTACTGTTTTTTGGAATGAATTATAACAAATCATTATGAAGGATTTTTCCTTCTCATGTGAATTCAGTAAGTGATAATGACAACAAAATTAGTAACAATAGCTAGTACTTATTGAGCACATATGTTCCACATACATGTTTAAAGGCTTTATAAGAAATGTTAAGTTTTAGTCTTCATGAAAACTTTCTATTAGGTCGATATAATTATCACTTAAAAATAAGTGAAGAAAATAAGCAAAAGAGGGACAGAGACCCTGCAAAATTTCCCTAATGCTCTGCAGTCAGTAAACAATGGAAATGAGAAGACAATGTCAAGTAAAGTCTATGCTGGGAAAAGAGGCACATTCACGTTTTTTTAAGGTGAGGTCCTGCTGTTGCTCAGGCTGGTTATGAACTGCTGGGCTCAAGTGATCCTCGTGCTTCACCTCCCCAAGTAGCTGGGACTACAGGTGCTCACCACTGTGTAAGTCACTTTCTAATTGGAATTCTCAGAAATTTAACATACTGAATGTTAAGAAGGTTGGTCTACATTCTTTTTTTTTTTTTGCTTTTTGAGACAGGGTCTCACTATGCAGTTCAGGCTGGTCTTGGGCTCACTTTGTAGCCCAGGCTGGTCTTGAACTCACAACGATCCTCCTGCCTCAGCCTCCCAAGTGCTAGGATTACAGGTGTGCGCCACCATGCCCGGCACTACATTTTTACTAACTTTTTAAAGCATTGATTTTCTAATGCTTAGTAAGCAGTAAGAGAGACGAACGCCCACATTTATTGAATTTTCTTCTGGTATATTACTCTAATGTTCCACAACAGAAGTGACAAGTGAAGGTTTTCTGACATCAATTACATTGATAATGACCTAATATTGAGCCATGTGTGAACTCCAGTGGCTTTTCTGTGTCCCTCGTATCTGAGGCTTGCTAACTAGTATGGATTCTGTAGTGTTCAATGAGCTGAGAGCCAAGCACAAAGGCCTGCCCACACTCTCTACATTCGTAAGGCTTGATGCCAGGGTGGATTCTCTGATGTTCAGTAAGCTGTGAACTACGGATGAAGGCCATCCCACACTCCCTGCATGCATAGGGCTTCTCACAGGTGTGAATTCGCTGATGGTGGGTCAGCTGTGAAACGCGAATGAAGGCTTTCCCACATTCCTTACACTCGTAAGGCTTGTCTCCTGTATGGATCCTCTGATGTTGAATAAGGTATGCACTGCGACTAAAGGCCTTCCCGCAGTCCTTGCATTCATAGGGTCTGTCACCGGTATGAACTCTCAGGTGACGCGTGAGCTGCGCGTGCTGTCTGAAGGCCTTCCCACACTCCTTACATTCATAGGGCTTCTCCCCGGAATGGATTCTCTGATGCCGAGTAACTTCTGAGCTGTGAATGAAGCCCTTCCCACATTCCTTACATTCATAGGGCTTCTCCCCAGTATGGATCCGCTGATGGACAGTCAGCTGAGAGTGCTGTCTGAAGGCTTTCCCACACTCTTTGCACTGGTACGGCCTAGCACCTGTGTGAATTCTGCGATGGACAGTAAGTTGTGAGCCACGGATGAAAGCCTTCCCACAGTCTTTACACACGTAGGGTTTCTCACCTGTATGAGTTCTTTGATGCAGAATAAGCTGTGAATGCTGCCTAAAGGTCTTTCCACATTCTTTACATTCATAAGGTTTGACACCAGTATGAAGCCTCTGGTGTAGGATAAGCTCCGAAGTCCTCCCGAAGGCCCGCCCACATTCCTTACAGCTGTAAGGTTTCTCACCTGTATGAATTCGCTGATGTTGAACAAGGTGTGAGGCACGGCTAAAGGCCTTCCCACATTCCTTACAGTCAAAGGGCTTTTCACCAGTGTGGGTTTTCTGATGCTGACTGAGGTGTGAGCCGCGGCTAAATGCTTTCCCACATTCAGTGCACGCAATCAGTTTCTCGCTGGTCCCACCGCGCTGATGGGGAGTGAGGGATCTGTGATGCTCGAGACCGGGCATGTTTTCATAGATGATTTCCACTTGCTTGAAATAGCACTCCTGGTTTATTTCTCGTCTCTCAAATTGGCCTTTGCATTCCCAGTCACCTCTAAAACTGGAGCCCTCAAGATCACACTTTTTAAGGGTTTCCATGAACTCCCAATTGAAAGACTTTATTTCAAAAATATGTTTTTGTGGAAATGTCTCACACGTGGACTCCAAGCCTGAAAAATATAAAAGTAAATACAAGCTATGCTCACACAAAGAACTAGTATGTGTAGGTGCATATGCCATCTCCTCATGATGACTGTACGTTACGGACTGCAAACATGTACTAATAAAAATAAAAATTAAAAAAAGGAAAAAAAATCTGTTCTCTTCTATGAAAAAATAAAATCCACAGTAAAACAGGGAAGATAGAATAAAAATAATAACAATAAAAAGTGACTAGCCTAAATAAGTCTCAAACATTGGTCAATTTCTAAAAAGCACACAAAAGCACAGACATTGTATGAGGCTCATATGGTGTCAGAAGGGAGCAAGACGAAATAAGCCAGGTTCTCCATTTTGATACGGATCAGAATCATTTAGGAAGAATATTAACCATACACATGTCCAAGCCTACCTCAGACTGAATCGAAATCTACAAAAGTTGGGCCAAAGTGTGTGTGTGTGTATTCATATATTTTAAAGTCTCTGTGGTACTGGGATTGAACCTACGGCCTCACACATATACGAATTTTTTAATTGAGCTTAAAATTCACATAACAAAACTTCCCATTTAAACCATCTAAACCAAATGTGCATTAAAATGCACAATTCAGTGGCTTGTAGCACATTCCCACTATCTAGTTTGAGAACATTTCATCATCCCATTTAGAACCCCAAGGCCCTCAGCCAGGCACGATGGCACATATTTGCAGTCACAGCCCTCTGAGAGGGTCAAAAGTTTGAGCCCAGCCAGGGCAACACAGTGACTCAGTGAGATCCTGCCTCAAAATACAAAATGGGATGGGGATGTAATTCAGTGGGAAAGCCCTGAGTTCAATGCTCAACACTGTGGAGCGGGTAGGGTGGAAGGGGAAGAGAGAGACATAGTGAGAGAGAGAGAGAGAGAGAGGACAACCTAAAACCTAAGACCCATAAAAAGTCTCTCCCATTCTCTATTCCCTCCATCCCTAGCTAGCCACTACTGATTAGGCAGAGAGCCACTAATTCTACCTTTATACCTTTGCCTATTCCAGACATTCTGTATAGATAAAGCACTTCTACTTTTTCCTTTATGTTTGTTTTTTAAGATGGGGGCTTGCTATGTTGCCCAGGCAAGAATCTCCTGTCTCAGCCTCCCCAGTAACTGGGATTATGATGCATGCCATTATACCCAATTCGAGGCAATCTCTATACTGTGTCCCATCATATGACATTGAGGCCAAGCAAAATGAAAATCTGCCTGGCCTTCTCATTGCCTTCCCACTGTGCTGAGAGTGCATCCAAATGCAGTCATGGCTCACAATGCTCTTGGCAAAGCAGGTCCCTGATGTCTTTCTTGTCACTGTCTCAACCAGGGACAATACAACGTCACACTGAGGACTCTCCCTTCTCCTACCTTTGTACCAAACCACAGGCTTTCTTTGAGCAGCTAGAATAAACGTAGGCCTTTTCCACCTCAGATCACTCAACAGGTCCGGTGCTCTTCACATGCTCTTTTCTCATCCTTTAGGTCTCAGATGAAAACTCACTTTTTTTTGTCTTTTGTCAGTTCAGGCTAGTCTTGAACTCACTTGATAGCCCAAGCTGGCCTTGAACTTGCAACGATCTTCCTGCCTCAGCCTCCCCAGTGCTGGGATTACAGGCGTGAGCCACCATGCCTGGCTCGAAAACTCACTTTTAAAAAAGTGTTCAGCAGGCACATGTATTCTCTTTTGCACAGCTGTGTCCTGTCCCTATTACACTTTTATCAGTAATAATTATACTTCCATATATTTATCTGTTGATGTATTTGTTTTCTTGCTTCTAAATTTCCCAAAGACAGAAATAATGCCTTTTCAATAGTGACTGTAATCAACTCCTAGCATAGAGCAGATTTTTGGTAATGGATTTGGGAATGAATAAATATTGGATTCCAGACAGACACGCCAGTGGAACACAATAAAAAGCATAAAAATAGATTGAAGTTTATTGAAATTGAATATACTATAAAGGTAGTATCTCAAAGGGATAAACAGTAGTTTTTGTAATAAATAATATCAGGGTAACCAAACAGTCATTTAAGAAAAGAAAAATCAGATCCATATATTACGGTACCACATACCAGAATAAAATCCAGATAGGTTTTTTCCCCCAATGTTCAAATTGAACAAATTATGCAGGGAATGGGAGTGTAGCTCAGTGGTAGAGTGTGTGCTTAGTTATCTGGAGTGAGGCTTGAGTTTAACTCCAGACTGGAACAAAAGTAAAAAACCCAAAAGACAAATAAACCCATGATGCAATATACTGTTATACAGTCATCTTTTTGTACCAAGATCCCTTGAACTTACTGTGTAAGTACAACTCTGTACCTAAGGACAACATCTCCCTGATCTACTTCCTCTCCCTACCCAAATCCTGGTAATGACATTCTCCTCTCCCCTTTGACGAGTTTGGCCTTTTTAGATTTCACATATAATTAGATCATGTGGTATTTGTCTTTCTGAGTCTGGCTTATTTCACTCAACATACTGTCTTCCAGATTCATCCATGTGTGAGAAATAATAGCTCTGTCTTTTCTATTCAACAGGACTGCCTCCATTTTGGACTCTAGTCCATTCTAGGCAGTCCCTCCTGAACACACCAAGTTGTGAGAAATGCCTGCTCAGTTTAGACTCCAGAAACATAGCTAATAGCTAAACATAACTTATCAACAGCCAGGGATTTTCAGTGCCCCATACCCCTATTCTCCCTTCCCTTAACAGCCCTGCCTAGCAACCTTTTGGGCCACTTAAACTAGCCAATCAGGATAGATTGTAAGCCAGGCGTGGTGGTGCACGCCTGAAATCCCAGCACTTGGGAGGCTGAGGCAGGAGGATCATTGGAAGTTCGAGACCAGCCTGGGCTACAAAGTGAGCTCAAGGTCAGCCTGAACTGCATAGTGAGACCCTATCTCAAAAAAGACAAAAATAAAATAAAAATAAAATAGGATAGATTGTAAACCTTCAACCCAACCAATGGGGGAAAAGGTTAGCTGCTTCTCTTGCTAGGGATCAAAGGAGCAACCTTCCTGGGTGCCTGCTACCTCATTGCTGGGGTGTGCCTGTGCACTTTTACAAAAGTAAAAAGCTTTGTCTAGGTTTCTTGGGTCTGAGTGCTTCATTATCTGCATCAGCAAATTGAGTCTGGGAGCTTATTTCCAGCACATGTTATGGCAAATGACAGAGACTTCCTTCTCTTTAAAGGCTAACTAGTATTTGTCTTAGTTACTTTTCCCATTGCTGGGACAAAATACCCAATACCCAAAGTTAAAGAGAGAAAGGTTTATT